TGTGTTTCTTTGGTTTTTATGAAGAAGAATTTGAAACATACACAAAAGCATACACTGGAAATTCCCTCCAGTGCCTTTATTCATTTCCTTTCTTGAAATAGTAGGTCTCATCTTTCATTTGTAAATCCTAATGTTCTTGTATCAGCAAAATATTTAATGGGTCTACTTGAACTCCAGTTTCTTCAATCTAAATTTTATGCTTTTTTTCACTAGAATGCTGTGGATGCATTAAAAGTTAAAGATTCATCTCTTGGCTGGGTGCAGCAGCTCATGCCTGTAATCCCAGCACTTTGGGAGGCTAAGGCAGGAGGATTGCTTGAGCTCAGGAGTCCCAGACCAGCCTAAGTAACAGAGACCCAGTCTTTACTAAAAAATAAAAAAATTAGCTGGCTGTACCTGTAGTCCCAGCCGCTTGGAAGACTGAACTGGGAGGATCCCTTCAGACCAGGAGTTTGAGGCTGCAGTGAGCTAGGAACGCATCACTGCACTCCAGCCTGGATGACAGAGAGAGATCCCATCTCTTTAAAAAAAGAAAAAAAGAAAAGGAGAAAAAGATTTACCTCTCTTATCATGTTTATCTTATATAACCTCATTGAATTTTTAATAAAGTTAAGGATCAAATGATGCAATGCATATATACTGAACTTTTTAAATAGTAAAGAGTAAACATAGTAAAAATGGTAAAGAGTAAATACAATGGTGTATTTTTCAATATTATAGCACCACAGAAATCCCTGGGCCATGAGGTGAATGAGTTGACATCAAGTAGATTATTGAAGTTAGAGATGGAAAATCAAAGTTTGACAAAAACTGTAGAAGAGCTTCGGACTACTGTGGATTCTGTAGAAGGCAATGCTTCCAAAATCCTGAAAATTGAAAAAGAAAATCAAAGACTCAGTAAAAAGGTAAATTAAAATGTAATGTTTATTTTAATGTTAAAAAATACTTGTAAAAGTGTAAATAAATGGCACATTTATTTTCCACTTTTTAAATGCACCCTCAATGTTATTTTAACTTGTTATGAAATTTTTCAAATATACACAAATATGGTGTAAATGAATCCTATACTCATTATTCAGCTTCAACAATTAAGAACTTACTAGCTGATCTTGGCCAGGTGCGGTGGCTCACACCTGTAATCCCAGCACTTTGGGAGGCCAAGGCGGACGGATCACCTGAGGTCGGGAGTTTGAGACCAGCCTAGCCAACATGGTGAAACCCTGTCTCCACTAAAAGTACAAAAATTAGCCGGATGTGGTGGTGGGTGCTGGTGATCCCAGCTACTCAGGAAGATGAGGCAGGAGAATCTCTTGAACCTGGGAGGTGGAGGTTGAAGTGAGCCGAGATGCGCCACTGCTCTCCAGTCTGGGCCATAGAGCAAGACTCGGTCTCAAAAAAAAAAAAAAAAGAGGCAGCAGGGCTAGAGGAGTTATATTTGCCAGTTTCCAAATAATGAATTGGTTCTCTCATATCTTCTTGAGAGAACAGTGAGTGAGTTTGTTGTTTCAGTATCATTAACCCATGAATTTAAAAATATTTGTATTGTTTCAATCCACTCCATTTGTTTTTCTTACTGTCTCAACTCGGGCTAGTGGAAGCCTCTTTAAAAGCTGCTTTGGTTCTGAATCCTTATTACATGGCCTTAGCACTCCTTGAGAGCTGTGTTACTTTCTGCCATGACAAAATATTCTAGGCTCATCTTGAATATTTTCTGTCCCAGATCTGGAGACAGCCATTTCTCTAAAATTAGCCTTTATTCCTTTTAGTGGGAAATAATATTTAGAGACCACAATTTAGGTATTATGAAACTTGAATCTTAATCAGACTCTGGTTGAACAGAGATACTTAGCTGTGGAAGAACAAGTGTTTTGTTTTTGCATATCTTTCTGTGCACATAATTCTACATAAATAGAATCCCATCATAAAAACATGCATGACTAAGAACTGTTTCTAAGAAGTTCCTAAGTGATGCTCATCATGCTGTCCTGGAATCATGCTTTGAGAACCACTGTCTTAGATTATTCAGAGGCTCCTTGGTATTCTTGTAAGATTTTTACTGTTTTAAAATGTTTTTGCATTGTCTTTAATCCATTAACTAAATAATCTTAGTAAGTGTTTGACAATATAGTGTTAAAGTAGGATGGCCATTTTGTCGTTAAAATTGGGCCTGTAGAGTACAGTTTCTTTTTGAAATTAGCTTTGAATTTTGATTTGTAAATTCTTAGTGATTCAAGCAATTTTTGATCAATTAATTGTAAAAATGATTTTTTATAAACTGAATGTTTCACTTTAATCCCACTGATACGGCCGGGCGCGGTGGCTCAAGCCTGTAATCCCAGCACTTTGGGAGGCCGAGACGGGCGGATCACGAGGTCAGGAGTTCGAGACCATCCTGGCTAACACGGTGAAACCCCGTCTCTACTAAAAATTACAAAAAACTAGCCGGGCGAGGTGGTGGGCGCCTGTAGTCCCAGCTACTCGGGAGGCTGAGGCAGGAGAATGGCGTAAAAACCCGGGAGGCGGAGCTTGCAATGAGCTGAGATCCGGCCACTGCACTCCAGCCTGGGCGACACAGCGAGACTCCGTCTCAAAAAAAAAAAAAAAAAAAAATCCCATTGATACAAAACAACAAATGAGTTTCAATAACTGTCATTCATATATTTCCGTATATGTAATATGAGAACCAGATTAATTATTCATAACTGAAAGCTTCCTGAACTGTAAATTAATGTTGAATTGAGTTATTGGATAAGTTTTTTGACCTGGTGCTTTTCATATTATTATTATTATCATTATTATTGGCAGTAGTAGTATTTTGAGCTAGGGTCTCACTATGCCACCCAGGCTGGAGTGCAGTGGCGCAATCCTAGCTTGCTGCAACCTCCGCTTCTCAGGCTTAAGCAGTCCTCCCACCTCAGCCTCTCAAGTAGCTAGGACTACAGGCACAGGCCACTATGCCTGGCTCAGTTTTTTGTTTTTTGTGGTTTTTTGTTTGTTTTTGGTAGAGACATGGTTTCACCATGTTGCCCAGGCTAGAAATATTATTGGAAGATTGTTTCCATGTGTAGTTATTTCCATTAATGTTAAAATAGAAAAATTAAAATTGCTTTAGAGTGCTTCACTATTGACATAAGAATTTAACATTTAACTTGCAGTAGAATATTTTATAAAGTCTTCTCGATTTTTTTAATTGCCTAGTTTGAATATATGATAATGGAAAAATCAATAGTCTTAGCATATTTTTAACTTTAATTTGCTATTTTGTACATATTAACTACCAGTATTTTTTATCTCTAAAATGTGTAATTGAAAAGAAATTTGAACCTGAAATATAAATATTTGCTGCTGTTTTCCTTAGTCCTTTTTTATGGTAGTATTCTTTTTCTCCCTCTTTTTTATTTTAAACCAAGTCCTTTCTTTTTTCCCCATTGAACTTATACTGTACTATTTCTCATCTTTTCCTTCATGCTTTTTATATCTTCTCCCTTCTTGCTCACTGAAATTCTCTGAGTGTAAGTAAAATTTTACTTTACAAATCCACTGAAGCCAAGAGAATCTTTTAAAAAAGTTTGTATAGTTCTCATATAGCACATTATCATTTATTCAGCTGGATTTGTCTTTGTGTTTAGAAAATGAAACTTACCCCAAAAGATGCATAGGATAAGAAATCATGTCTGCAGATTTTATACAGCTACAGAAATTAGCATGGAATGCTGCTTGAATTTCTATACTGAGTTCTTAAATTTTAGCATTTGGATATTAACACTATTTTATCCTTTATTCAGTGATTATCTTTTGTTTTGACATGTTTTCACTATTGTAGAATATTTAACATACTGTTTTGTGATTTAATTTTCTCTAGGTTGAAATTCTTGAAAATGAGATTGTTCAAGAAAAGCAAAGTCTTCAGAATTGTCAGAATTTAAGCAAGGATCTAATGAAGGAGAAAGCTCAGCTTGAAAAAACAATTGAAACACTGAGAGAAAATTCAGAGAGACAGGTTCATACATTTTTTTACTAAGTAAACAATGTATTTTAAAATTTATTAGCAAAAGTTATTTAAAATATATGCAAACAAAACGTTGATATAAACATTAAAGGGAAATATTTTAGAATTTTTTTATTTCAAAGTAATTATAATTTTACCTCATTTTCTAACCTATGTATCTTAGGAAAGTTGAAGAGAAAGCTTAGAGTTTTTTAAACTGCTAGTGTGCTTGATAATCATCTAGTATAAGCATTTGCAGTTCTTGTGCTTTCAAGCGTCTATGGAATAGGGCTGCAGATTCTAGAGTCCCTGAGTGGAGTTGGCCAGGAAATGCAGCTGTCCTCTGACCTACCGAAGAGGGAGAAATGCGGTGGCAACCACACTGTCTTGGATATTATGAAATTTGTTTTCAAGTGTTTAATGTTCATTCTTATTTTATGTTTGAGGAAACTGAGAACTGGATAGATTAATTGATTTGTTTTTGAAATATTTATGTATTTGAGACAGGGTCCAGCTCTGTCACTCATGCTGGAGTGCAGTGGCACAATCATAGCTCACTGCAACCTCGAACACCTAGGCTCAAGCAATCCTTTCACCTCAGCTGGGACTACTAGGCATGCACCACCATGCCCAGATAATTTTTTAATTTTTTAATTTTTATTTTTTGGTAGAGACAAAGTATCGCTATGCTCCCCAGGCTGGTCTCAAACCCCTGAGCTCAAGAGATATTCCGGCCTCAGCCTCCCGAAGTGCTAGGATTATAGGTGTCAGCCACCATGCCTGAGCATTAATTTTTTTAGAAGTAAGATTATTTGTTTATATCATCCAGGTATAGTCCTCAGACCAGCCATAAAAATGAAGGTTTCTTTAGAGATACAGAACAGAAGTTCTAGACTAAGCTTCAATCTTCACTTTTCCAAGCTTCTTGAGATTATTTAACACACTAAATTTTGAGAATCATTGTATTAGGTCATGGTATAAATTGGATGAATTAGTTCTCAAATGTACCCAGTAATTTTTGTGATTTTGATGCTTCCTACTTAGAATTCTTTTTGGGAATGAATACACACACATACAAACCGATATATACACATACAATACAGCACGTGTTTACTGAGGACCCACTGTAGGCATTGCAAAAGTTACTCAGTAAAAGTAAAACCTTATGTTCTCAAGGAGGTATGTGTGTGTGTGACACCGGTATTCCTATTTGTATTTGAAGCATGTAACTATAAATAATCTGAAGACCATTATGATTAATAGAAAATACATTTCTCAATCGTTCCTTTAAACTGTGAACTTCCTAAAGACATGAACTTTAATGACCTGACAGCATGTGTACACAGTGGTCTTCAGTAAATACTTGTCAGAATTAAAAGTAAGACAGGCATTCTGGTACCCTTTTTTTTTGTTCCCCTTTTCTTGGTAGTTTTTGGAAGAGATAAACCATAGTTAGTTTTTCCTCGATTACAGCTTTTGATTATTTTCTTTTTCAAATTAGATTAAGATATTGGAACAGGAAAATGAACATCTGAATCAAACAGTGTCTTCTTTAAGGCAGCGGTCCCAGATAAGTGCAGAAGCAAGAGTGAAAGACATTGAAAAAGAAAACAAAATTCTCCATGAATCTATCAAAGAAACAAGTAGCAAGCTAAGCAAGATTGAATTTGAAAAAAGACAAATTAAAAAAGAATTGGAACATTATAAAGAAAAAGGAGAACGAGCAGAAGAACTTGAAAATGAATTGCATCATCTTGAAAAAGAAAATGAATTGTTACAGAAAAAAATAACTAATTTAAAAATTACTTGTGAAAAAATTGAGGCGTTAGAACAAGAAAATTCAGAGCTAGAAAGAGAAAATAGAAAATTAAAAAAAAC